GACTTTTGCTCACTCCTTTTACACCCGTGCAATTCTACACATGTTTATTCTTGATATACCAATAGGTCACTGCAGATTGTGTTTAGAATATGTTTTCTCAATGGTAGCAGAACTCCATAGATATTTTTAAGAGAGGAATATCAAGTAGATATCCACAGATTATATATCTTCAGAGTATATTGTTTTTGCTCAAAAATATATACCTTAAGAATCCATTGCTAGCCGTTAACTCCACGGAAAATGCTAGCTGCCAATAAAAAAATTTTAGTGATCAACAGCGTGAACAATACTATGCACAATCTCACTATACAAAATTGCTGAGATGCCGGATGCTCTATCTTTTTATTTCCATCATCTGCTTTTCTAGGCAAATTTGACAAATTTGATCTGTGGACAAAATTAAATCACAGAATGAACTGCCCGTGAAACTATTTCACGCGGCTGACCTTTTTGTGTGACGCCCGACACGTAGGCGTCACATTACATTGTGCAACGCCTCACAGATAGGCGCTACACGCCTGGCCAGCGTTGCATCCCAGACTGCCTAAAAATTGCTAAGTCATTGTGCAGAACCTAAGAGCTAGGCGCTGCACTGTATAGCATGGCGCCTAGCTCTCAGGCTCTGCACTGGTGGTTGCACTACAAAATGAAGCAACCACTAGTGCAACGCCTAGAAGCTAGGCGCTACACTGTATAGTGTGGCGCCTAGCTCCCAGGCGCTGCACACTAACTTAGTAATTTTTGGATCACACGGGTGCGACGCTGGCCAGATGTGTAGCGCTTATCTGTGAGGCGTTGCACAGTGTAGTGTGGCGCCTTCGTGTCGGGCGTCACACAAAAAGGTCAGCCACGTGAAATAGTTTCACGGGCAGTTCATTCTGTGATTTAATTTTGTCCATAGATCAAATTTATCAATTTTGCCGCTCTTCTAACACTTGCACTCCAGAATTCCTCTGCAATCCTCACGTCACTCTTCCATCAGTTCTGCCAAAAAGGCACACAGCAGATACATGCACGCAATGAATCGGATCAAGGATTCTATCACAAGGAAGTCTCGGGGTGAAGACTACAGTATCCAAGTGCCGCATGAACATCACATTTATCACTGTTGGCTACATCAAAAAGGTGAATGACACCTCAAGACATTTTCAGCAACGTGGACCCCAGCAAACAGAAATTGATACATATTAGTTCCTCTGCTTATTAACAAATAATATTTATAAACAACAGATTTATTTCTACATGTACCGCATTTGTAAATATACTGTACTACATACTTGCATTCAATATACCTTTTGTTACTACTCCCTCCCTTCCTAAATAATAAGTGAATCTACACTCTAAAACATGTCTACGTACATCCGTATGTTGTAGTCCATTTGAGATGGCTAGAAAGACAATTATTTGGGAACGGAGGGAGCATACACTTCTTAAATTTCCTCTTTCAACTTAAGCCACTGTAATTTGCACTCCTAACATACTATGGTTCTCTACGAATATCAAGTATTTCATTCTTCTGAATCGTTAGCGCATTGGTTCTCTAAAATTAGTCCTCAAATACCCGCATCAACGCGCGGGGAATCATCTAGTTTTTATAATAATTAGTGATATAAGATTTAAGTTGCTCATGCCCCTCAATCACTCCCTCATCCTGTTGTAGGAAACGAATAATTTTTTTTCGGTGTCTGCCATTGGCGACTCCATGAAAATATCTAGTATTTGAATCACCTTTCAAGATAAACTGAGAGTTAGAATGTTGGTACCATTTGAGTTCCTCTTCACGCAGCATGTTAGCTATCTGTGCATTCAAAAAGATTTTAGGCATGTTGACTGCAATAGACAAAAGAACATTAGTTATGGTAGTATTTACTTACAGCTGAGAACATAGGAGCATTATATTATGTTCAATTATCAGTAGCTTAGTGCTGGATTTGGAGAAAGATCGCTATAAATTTGGAGCTTACACTATTGCTTACATAATGCCATGCATCTTCGCACCATTGATGTAGTTACTAGTTACAGTGGAGTGGAACTGTGGCAGTGTTACATACCATGAGTCCATGACTGGTATTCATGAACTGGAATATGGAGTTGTTATCTAAAACTATAACTCCTTGGACTCAAATCTGAACATATTTTGGGAAATGATGATAGACTTTTAGTATAGTGTGCGTGTTTTAGAGTCGTTGACTCGAAATACGGTTTTGGCATGATTTTGAGTCGTTGAGTGAGTCGAAACACGGATTTGGCATGATTTAGAGTCGTTGAGTAAAAATACGGATTTGGCATGAGGGAAGCTAGAGGCCAACTCTGCCAGCACAGTCAGAGGCGGAGCTTGAGCATAATCCAAGACGGGGCCATTAGCTGAAGGGAGGCAAATTAATAGGGAAGGAGGGGCTAATCTCTAGTTCAAACACTAGTTAGGCCTAAAATAGAGCATATTATTCAATGGTTGTAAAAGTTAAGGGGGGGGGGGCCTTGCCCCCGTTGGTCTACACAAAGCTCTGCCACTGAGCACAGTGCCTGGCCGATGTCGAGCTTAGGATTTTGATCTCATGGCTGTGAAGGAAAAGCACGGTTGAATTTCTATTGAGTTCGATTCGATGATTTGATCACATGCAGTCGCACGTCTGTGCTGCTGGTGTTTTTAACTCCTGATTATTTCTTTTGCCTTCATGTTCCCCCTCATGAATCAATTGATCAATAATAAATATTTGTCCAGTGGATTTGAACCTTTTTACCGTGCTTTTCCCTCACAAAAACCTTCTACTTCATGAGAATGGTGCTTTCACTTAAGAAATGAATATTCTTTTGACACTATGTATTGGTAAATGGTTATGAGGATCCGTCTGTTAAAAAGATCAGATGAATGCCAATGTTAAGGTACATGTATGAAGAACTAGTGGCTGAAATTTGTTGATGGCAGATGCTAAGGTACAAGTAAGGAGATCTAGCTTACACGATGACGTAAGCCGAAGCAGTGGTATATTCTCCTTCATGTGAGGTTAAGGATTTATGTTGACCAAGGAATTTTATTCTCTTTTTTACATTCCCTTTGTGATAGCGTACCACATATGCCATGTGGTTGGAATTTATTATCTAATTCGTGAACATGTGTGCTGGAATAGACTAGGCAACATGGATGTGTTTAGTTCTAATAAAATATCGGGGATATATGTTTAGTTGTGACAACACGAATGAATGGCTTTTTGACAAAATCCTCTAGAGATCTTTTATTGTCCTGTATTAACACATATGAAAGCAAGTATTCAATTCTGATATGCGATGCTGCATTGAACTTTCACCAGTCGGAATAGAGTTTTTTGCTAGCCTCCATGCAATGTTTTGACCTATATTTCATAAACTCTGCTATTGTTTCTGAACCGTTGTTGTGTCCGACATGCTTCCACAATGCTCCAACCGTCATCCCTCCTCCGTTTCGTATCAACCAAAAGACTGTAGGCTGACCTAACCGAAAAAATGCCTGATCACTCATAGTGCCATGCCCACCAATCGCTAGACGTCATGGTACTGCGCGGAATATTCATAACAACGTTGACATTAACGGGATTCATATGCTGACAAACAGCAGTCCGGTTCCAATGTCTAGATGTACTGTCGATCAATCCCGTGAGAAGAACAGGGGAGTTGTCCAAATTCCTTGTTTTGATTCCAAACATGCGTTGTTTTCCCCATCTCCAATTCGCCGGACAAGTCCCTGTTTCAAAACTTCTAGGCCTGCATGAAGCCATGAACAATTCACCACACTTGAGATGGTTGGGATTCAAGCTCCGATTCCAGCAAGTCAGAAGATGGGAAGTACTTTGCTTTCAGAATCCGCGCACTCAGCGATTCGACTCCTGAAGAACCCTCCAACCTTGCTTTTCGAACATGACAAGGTTGAAAATATCCGTATCCTGGAACCCCAAACCCCCATGTGTACTTAGGCATTGTCAGATGATCCCAAGACACCCAGGTCGTCTTTCTCTTTCCATCTTTACAACCCCAATTTTTTTTCCTTCCAAACCATGGTATTTAGCTGATTGCATAGCCCGCGAGGTAGCAAACAACATGACATACAATAAGTCAGGATCGCCGGTGCAATAGACTCTCCTTCCCAGAAGAGGCGATACATCTTTCAATCCAACACTGAACTTTTGACCAAAGCCTACCCAAATATCCGTTATTTACTCTTCCTCATATTTGATGGTAAGCCAAGGCATCGTTTATTCAAGGATTCATTGGAGACTGTAAGAACAACTTTGATAGAATTCCTTCACGACTCCGGGCAGCCCTTACCCAAAGAAAAAATAGAGGACTTTGACAGGTTAATTTTCTGACCATAAGCATCACAATATTGTTGCAGTGTCTTCAATGATTGTAGCAGCTTCTTCATTTGCTTTGAACATAATTAAGCTATCATCCACAAACAAAATGTGATTTACCGAAGGTGCTGAGGGTGCAACAACAACACGTACATTCTCATTGGTTGTTTTTGGGGGAACATTCTCATTGGTTTTTTTAGGGATACTGTCAGTGGTTTTTTTTAGACACGGATACTGTCATTGGTTTTTTTTAGAGTACCCAATGGGTACTCTCATTGGGTGGAATGTGACCAATTTGCCAAGTGGTCATGCCTAAGGCCAGGCCCAGATGAAAACGCCCAGAAGACCAGGAACCCTCTAGAATCCCCAATCCGGCAATTCCCGCACCGCAGCGTCTCCATCCCCACTTTCTTGTTCCAACGGCCGAAAGGGGATGGTGTTCTCGAGTTCTTGAGCGGGTCGACTCCGCGGCGAGAGAGACCAAGGGAAATCGAAGAACAGGTGCGTCCGCTCGCACCCGCCATCTCGTTTGCGTCTTCACGTGCTGGGGTTCCAACCATCTCTTGCTCGCTCATCCGGATCTGGGGAATTTTCGCAGGCACCGTCAGAACTCAGAAGGTTCGCGAACCCCTCCGACCTCGCCCCCTCCGACCTCGCCCCCTCCCGTCCCGTCCCATGGCGACGAGGGAGACCGAGCGAGGCTCCTCCGGCGGCCTCCCCGAGGACATGATCCCGGAGATCCTCGCCTGCCTGCCGCCCAAGCACCTCCTCCGCTCCCGCGCCGCCTGCAAGGCCTGGCGCAACCTCGCCACCGACCCCGCCTTCATCGGCAGGCACCACTCCTTCCAGCCACGGCAGCCCCTCGTCTTCACCTACGACGTCGGCGGCTGCCTCCAGGCCGTCGACCTCGCCACCAACAAGCGCCGGGCGGTCCTGCGGGTTATCCAGAGGGTGCCCGTGCCCCGCCCCTTCGCCGACGACGGCCGCGGCGCACTCATGGTCCACGGCTCGTGCAACGGCCTGCTCCTCCTCAGCTTCCACAGGTCCTTCTTCGTCTGCAACCCTGCGACGCGCCAAGGCGCTCGCCTGCCGCTGCTGCTTCAGGATGGCCGACATGTCGTGGGGTTCTACCAGCACGCCGCTTCCGGGGAGTACCGGGTGCTGTACCACGAGGCTGAGCGCCTGGGCCTCCAGAGCCGGCACTCCTACTACGTCCTCACGGTGGGATCCCCGCAGGCCAGGAGCATCGACCTTCGCACGTCGTCGGCTGAAGTGGGCGCTGGGCTGATGAGAGGGCTGGAGAGCTCTCGCACATCGCCGCCCGTCCTTAATGGCAGCCTGCACTGGTCGCCGCAACAGAGCCAAGGGGGCGACATACTGGTGTTCGACCAAGCTGCTGAGTCATTCAGGCGGATCTCTCCTCCCGCGGAGGCGAGCCTGACCAAGGACGACCACACGCAGCTGTTTGAGATGGAGGGCAAGCTTGCCATGTTCTGCTCGCCCCAATTCGCAAAGAACATGGCGGTTTGGTTCATGGATGACTACAAGGAGATGCGCTGGGTCTGGAAGTACTGGGTTAAGCTGTCCTTCAAGCTTGCTTATCAACCTATACCGTTGCCACTTTGTCCGATTGTCCTGTATCAAGAGGGGGATATGCTGGTGTCCGAGGAAGTCTCTGACAAGGTGTTGCATTGTGATAAGACAGGTAAATCGCAGGGGCCTGTTGACTGCTCTGCTGGGGGCACCAGAGTTACTCCACATATGCTCAAAGAAAGCCTTGTCCTCCATGAGTTCCTTCAGACGCAGCGGAATGATGGTGCCTGTGAATGGTTCTCCGAGGTCGAGTTCGCTGATGGCTCGGATACTGCAATCTCTGGTGATGAAACTCAAACTGATTAACTTCTTCTAATCAGTTTGACCTATTTGAACAGTTTGTCCCATTCATGATTCGCGCAGTGGTGACAGAGGTTCACAGATATTGAGTGATTCCTTCTTTCTCTTTTAATATGACAGCAGGGGTTTCTTGTAGTCTGTGCAATTATCTCGTGTTATGTCTCAGTACAAGGTATGTTGGATATTGCATGTTTTCCATAACATGGATTTTGAACGAATTGCATGTGTTCTAAACATGATTTCGAATGGCTTGGGCATCATATCGGATGATATACCTGCAGGTCATGATTGCTGTTATCGAACTTGTTTGTGTTACGGAATACAGATACCATTGCTATGTACTGTTTTCACTGCTGGAATTTAGGGTATCATCATTATGCTCTGAAGTTCTTTTTTAGTGGTTGCAGTTGTAGATTTTGATCTGGAGCCAATGCTACTATGTTGTTTTGTACCATTGTTGAGGTGATTGTTTTATAAGCTGCTCCTAATTTTGTCTACTGTTAGAGTTACATTCAGAGAAATGCAGATATGCATCTTCGGGATTACATGTTGGTGATTCATCTTCTATATTTCTGAATTTTTGTCTGGTGAGTTATCTTGCTGATGTTTGCACCAGATTCATTCATGCTTTGTTGGCATCATAGGCATTGTAGAAAACTGAACACTGTCATGCATGAAAATTGTGTTGTATGAAAAGATTTTAGGCATGTTGACTGCAATAGACAAAAGAACATTAGTTATGGTAGTATTTACTTACAGCTGAGAACATAGGAGTATTATATTATGTTCAATGATCAGTAGCTTAGTGCTGGATTTGGAGAAAGGTAGCTATATGCCTATACATTTTGAAGTGATGCCCAATGTTGAACTTAAAATGTTGCTTACATAATGCTATGCATCTTCACACCATTGATGTAGTGACTAGTTACAGTGGAGTGAAACTGTGGCAGTGTTACTTACCATGACTAGTATTCATACACTGGAATATGGAGTTGTTATCTTAAACTATAACTCCTTGGACTCAAATCTGAACACATTTTTGGGAAATGATGATGGTGACTTTTAGTATATTGCGCTTGTTTAGAGTCATTGAGTTGAAATACGGATTTGACATGAGGGAAGCCAGTGGCCAACTCTTCCAGCAGAGCGCATGAACGATGTTGATTCCTTCTTTCTCTTTTAATACGACAACATGGGTTCCTAATAGTCTGTGCAGTTATCCTCTATTATGTTTCAGTACACTGGATGTTGGAAATTGCAAAATTTTCGTTGCATGAATTGTGAACCAATTGCATGTGTTCTGGACATGATTTCGAAAGGCTTGTGCATCATATTGGATGATATGCCTGCAGGGATTGCTTTTATCGAACTTGTTTCTGATATGAAAAGATTCTAGGCATGTTGACTGCAATATCCAAAAGAACATTAGTTATGGTACTCCCTCCGTCCGGAAATACTTGTCGGACAAATGAATGAAAATGGATGTATGTAAAACTAAATTGCGTCTAGATACATCCGTTCCTCCGACAAGTATTTTGGGACGGAGGGAGTAGTATTTACTTGCAGCTTAGAATATAGTAAGTACTCCCTCCGTCCCAAAATTCTTGTCTTAGATTTGTCTAAATACGGATGGATCAAGTCACGTTTTAGTATTAGATACATTCGTATCTAGACTAATCTAAGACAAGAATTTTGGGACGCAGGGAGTATTATATAATCATTATTGCTACGTACTGTTTTCATTGCCGGAATTTAGGGTATCATCATTATGCTCTGAAGAATTTTTTTCAGTCGTGCAGTTGTAGATTGTGATCTGGAGCTGATGCTACTATGTTGTTTTTGTCCCATTGTTGAGGTGATTGTCCTATAAGCTGCTCCTAATTTTTGTCTACTGTTGGTGGCTCCTTCTTGACCACATGTTGGTGATTCATCTTCTATAGTTTTGATATTTTTTTGGTATGCCGAGTTATCTTGCTGATGTTTGCACCAGATTCATTCATGCTTTGTTGGCATCGTAGGCATTGTTGAAAACTGAACACTGTCATGCATGAAAGTTGTCTTTTATGCAAAGATTTCAGGCATGTTGACTGCAATTTGCAAAAGAACATTAGTTATGGTAGCATTTACTTAGAGCTGAGAACATAGTACTCCCTCAGTATCAAAAAACGTCTTATATTTTGATACAGAGGGAGTATTATATTGTGTTCAATGATCAGTAGCTTAGTGTTGGATTCGGAGAAAGGTCGCTATGCATTTGGAAGTGATGCCCTAACTGTTGAACTTAACTTGTTGCTTCCATAATGCCATGCATCTTCACACCATTGATGTACTCCGTAGTTACTAGTTACAGTGGAGTGAAATTGTGGCAGTGTTACTTACCATGACTAGTATTCATGCACTGGAATATCGAGTTGTTATCTTTAACTGTAATTCCTTGGACTCAAATCTGAACACATTTCGAGAAATGATGATGGAGACTTTTAGTATATTGCGCGTCTTTTAGAGTCGTTGAGTCAAAATACGGATTTGGCATGAGGGAAGCTAGAGGCCAACTCTGCCAGCACAGTGCCTGGACGATGTCAAGCTTAGGATTTTGATCTCATGGCTGTGAAGGAAAAGCACAGTTGAATTTTATTCTTTTTAGGGGATTTTTGTCTGTAATGTGAGTTAGATTTGATGAGTTGATCACATGCCGTAGCTCGTCTGTGCTGCTAGTGTTTTTAACTCTTGATTATTTTTTTGGTCTTCATGTTTACTCTGATGGATCAGTTCATCAATAAAAATATATTTCTTCAGTGGATTTGAACTTTTTTACTGTGCTTTTTTCCCTCACAAAAACTTTGTACTTAATGAGAATGGTGCTTTCACTTGAGAAATGAATATTCTTTTGCAATACGTAATGATATAAATGGGTGTGAGGGTCCATTTGTTAGAAAGATCAAATTGATGGCCGATGTTAAGGTACATGTATGAAGATCTTGCAGCTGAAATATGTTGATGGCCGTTTATTTTTTATTTTTTGAGGATTTTGATGGCCGATGCTGAAGTACAAGCAAGGAGATCTAGCTTACACGATGTCCGTTGAGAGTCGAAACAGTGGTACATTCTCCTTCGTGTGAGGTTAAGGGTTTATTTTAACCAAGAAATTTTATTTTCTTGTTTTTAAGATTCTTTTTGTGATAGTGTATCACATATGCCATGTGGTTGGAATTTTATTATCTAATTCGTGAACATGTGTGCTGAAATAGATGAAGCCAACGAGGATATGTTTAGTTCTAATAAAACAGCGAGGATATATGTTCGGAAATGCTAAAAAACTGACGTCAAGATTTTTAAGCATGACAAACCGATTTTTTTATGGGAAATTATGTGTCGTAGGCATTTTTAAGCATGGCAAATTGAATGTTTTTTATGGCAAATTAATGTTTGATTGCCATAAAAAACATGCTCGCGACACACAATTTGCCATAATTTTTTATTTGCCATCCTTAATAATCTGACGACAGATTTGTGGTCGGGTTTTATATGTTTTTGTGACAACAATCATTTTTACATCAAAAATGAATTTTTTGACCAATTTCCTCTAGAGATCTTTTATTGTCCTGTAGTAACGCATATGTTTCTAGCTAGTATAACAAAATCTCATACTCTTACAAATTGATTTAAATAGCAAAACCGAAGAGACACTTGTGTAAGTTACAATCACAAGTTCACAACAACTCGGACATTTTAGGATGTTTGTCTGGCCAAAGAGAAGATCTCTACAAAGCATGGATGCTATTGTGAGAACTAGGCATGTCATTGTAGCAATGCAAAAATCCACAGATTCTCAGAGGCAATCAACACTAAAAAGTCATTGTATTGGTGATGCTATACTGCAAGGCAATTCTTGCATCGCATGTAGTCAATGCTTCCAAGCATTTTTGACCACCCTCTTGCCCACTCATTGCTAAACCTTGTTGTGTGCCCTCGGATACTAAGCTCCAAAGACTTTGATCACGGTCTCCGCAAACTTACTGACACACTTCAGGGTTGTGTCTTCTCCGATGCGAAGTGATAGGTAGAAGGTGGCTCGATTTTCCAATGAGACGATTTTTTTTATCTTTGTTGGACTTTGACGACTCGAATACACCAAACACTAGATGTTGCGCCTTAGTAACCACTAAACTAACCTGTATGGTTATTGACGGTGTTGGAAACTAAATCAACCTGATCACGGAGATCAATCCCTAAATGCAACCAAAGAACAAGCCAGAAACTGAGATATGCAACCTGAATTGCGGATGTGATGCGAATTACTTGATTTAACACAATGGGGTTTCAGTGACGCATAATATAGGAGGTCTCGCTGACCCCCGTGTTTATACAATGACCTAATGGGGGTATTTAAGGAGGGGTAAAGGGGGTGGGGCAGCTAGCCCAAGGAGGGAGGGTTGAATGCAACCTCAAGTCGGTTTCCTCTCTTTTTTATTCCAAAAATACATGGGCCTGACCCAAAACCGAGGTGGTGCAGCATCTATAGATGACCATGGACAAAATTATAAAGCGACAACTTGTATATTTTGCCCATGTTCCTCACGTGTCATCATAGTGACTTCAAAGTCTTGAAATCGTCATAGATCCATCTTTGCTCCTTATACGCCTGCAGTTATCTCCATGCTTGATCATACTCCAGTGTGTTTCGCTTGTCCCTACTATCTAATTTAGGGAGCAACATGTTCTCATCCTAAAAGCGAAAGTACAAGATCATTAAGTTATTAGGTGCGAGCTCTAGTCATTGGTCCTTGTATCTTTGGAACTTTAGTTGGTGTCGGGGTTGTGGGTGTAATTGTAGTAGGTATGTCCTCATCACGAATGTACTCATCCATTAAACTAGAAGGGATACCATATGTGCCACTCGCATTGCCATCAGTACCTTCTGGAAAGCAGTGAACCATATCTGTGGAACTTCATTCTTCCCATGCATGACATACATTTCTTTAGCTTTCATGACATTGGTTGGGTCT